CCATTTAAAGTGGTTTGGAATTTTTCCAAACCAAACCAAACCACTTTAATTTCTAAACTAAACCAATTCAAACCATTTGTTTCAGTTTGGTTCGGTTTAAAACCACGGTTTAACAATGAAAAAATTAATGCATATCAAATAAGTTAAATCATAATTATTAGTATAAAATTTCACGTTAAAACATTAGTATTATTAAAAAAATTATATAATTATAATCATTATAGTGCAACAACATGATATAAATATTTTAAACTCTTAATCAATACTAATGGCATCCATTGACAATTGTAATACACGATTCATTTTGTTCATAAATATAAAAATATAGTACATGAATTCATTGATTATAGTTAAATAATATAAAATAACTAACAAAAGAAAATGAATGAAAGAATAAAATACAATAATACCTAACGACTGTGACTTTTTTGTGAATCATTCAATCCTTTTACTCCATCCAATTATTAGCGTAAAGGAGCTCAATAATTATAAGAACAAAACAACATAACTACCAATAAAAACAAAGAAAATGATTAGCAAAAAATAAAAGAATTTGGATAATCTGAATTGAATTTAGGCAAAATTTAAGAAAATTATTAGTAGAAGGAAATGAAATGTGCAAGTTTGAATTAAAATTTAGATTTAATTGTCTGTTCAATTATAATGGAAAATCAATGAATATGGTTTAGCAGCAATTGTTCAATACTTTACTCAATTTATTGATTTTATATTTATAGTTCTATTGACTAATGAGTATTTGGATATAATTTAATTAATTAATTAATTAAGATGTAAAATTGTCAAATTGAGTTCAATTGAATTATATCTAATATGGATGTATCTTTTTAATTGAAATGTGTTAAATAAAATTTAGACTAATTTATTTTCAAATTTTTTTGGTAAACGGTTTGGTGGTTTGAAACGGTTTGTAAATATTGAAACATAAACCAAACCACTTTGAAGCGATTTGGTTTAGTTTAAAACCTAAATATTGACAGATCCAAATGGAACTAAACCAACGGTTTCAGAAGAATGGTTTAGATTTGGTTTTTTTGTTTTACGGGTTTACTGTTCAGCCCTAATAAAAGGTGAAAAAAAAAGTTGTCACTTATTCACAACTTTTTTCTAAATAACTGGCAACTTTTTTTAACTTCAAATTAGAAAACATGCTATAAGAATAGGAAACGAGGACTGAGAAATTCAGTGTATTTGGAATTAAATTTAGAGTCCAGTAATCAGAAATTATTTAGGTATATGGTAAACTTTTAAGAACTATCGATTACTGTTTGTACTATTTGACAACAAATTTGAGAACCAATAAAATAATAACTTTCATTCTTTACTTTTAGCTTATTAAATAATTAATTCATTTTCAAAGACAAGGATTCAGCCCTTATTAATCATAATATGAACCCGAATTATTATAGAGCGTTCATATCCTTCCAATAATATTCTAAAATATGATTCCGGAACGTGTCAAGATGATGGCAAAGCTCTTTCACCCTAGCTGCGTTTTAGTCTTTCCAAATTGTAATCTAACTTGCCTCTTCTGTATGATTTGTAAAAATTCTTGAAAATGTAAATTATTACATGCAATTATGGTATGATATTTTGATAATTATTTTTAGCAAAATGATTTGACTATAAACTGGGTGTTATGTTTCCTTACTAAAAATTGGAAAATCTATTGTCATATTGATTGCAGCTTGATGTTGATATTGCAACACATATACATGTCTAGATGATGGACCTAGGAAGAGGTATGCTGCTTGACTTAATACACACACACTGTCTTTTTTTTTTTTCTTTTTTTTTTTT